ATTAACTAAATTTTTTTTTTCCAGGATGACAGGAAGGTTTATGAAGTTCATGCTGTAAAGTATAGTTTGGCTTACACAGAACTGTTTTATACTTGAATCTTTATTATATATAGTTTTTGATGCGAATAAATACACCAGTAAATGCGCACATTGGTATATATTTATCGTTTAACAAGTTGGGACATACGAAAATGTATTCCCCATTAATGTTAAGCATGATGTTTTTGTACCTCTTTTAACTATGGCACCATCTTATGGCAGAAATATCAAACACGTATATAAGGTCTAAGAGTAATATTTCTTTTGGAATAACAAATCCCTCATGCGATTTAAAGACTAATTTTTGGTGTGTGTGTGTGATTTCTTTATTTTTTACCTTATTTACTTCAGAGTCTCAACCACAATAATAATTTTTAGAGTTCAAAATTATCAGCTTTTCTTTTGCCTTCATTTATTCATCCACTGTTAATATTTTTACATATTGCTTTTACTTTGGGGGAGGGTGCTTTTTAATACAGAAAAAATAAACAATGGTTCTGAAAATAGTCTGCTTTTAATACACTCTTTTGTACATTTTTCATAGTGCATGAGCTGTGTTTTACTCGTATGATTTTCACGCTTGCTTATGTCTAAAGGTTCAATCATTGAATGTTAACATGCTTTAGGAAAAAGAAAATATGAACAAGATTAATTTTATTTTTTGTCGTTTATAAGTGGAAAAAAGTGTTACAAGACTAGTGATAATAACATTATCTTTTTTATTCATTCTAAATGGCAGGTAAACAGTATCCTACGCCAACTTTGAAATTTTGTTAATGATAATAATGATAATTAGAAAGAAATGTTAAGATATTTTAACTGTGGAATTAGCTTCATTAAATTATATTAAAAGCTTATGGGGTGACGGCCTACTTAATTGTTTTCTGCATTTTTATTTCGTGACAAAAAATGATTTATAATATTGTTACATCATATTTGGAATCGTTGGTTAAAATGTGATGGGATTGCTTTTTACTATTGGTGTAATTTACTATGTGAATAAGATACGAACTAATGAGTTCTGAATTCCAATTATTTATTTCCAAATAATTACACAGCATACAAGATTGTTTACGTCATTTATGTCCTTATTATTGGTGACTGGTGTCAATAATAGGTAGAAAGTTTCACTGAAAATCTAGTTTCATTACACCAGAATATCCCCAATTTGTTAATGGTAAGCTTACAAACATAAAATGCAAATATCC